CAGGTAACACTGTCTCTTATACACATCACATCTAGATGTGTATAAGATCTCTATCTTAGGAAGATTGCCTGGAAGATACATCTGTATGTATACCCTCTATGTCTCTGTGGTCTAATGGTATGACACTCGCCTTGATATCGAGAGGTTGCAGGTTCGAATCTCGCTAGACATACTTTTTTCATACATAAATAAAACGAACTCTTCATTGAATGTCTACAATTATACGATTATAACATCTTGTTCCTATTTGAGCACTGTAAACTATTAATTCATATTATATAAATATAAATTTAACAATAAAAATTTAATTAACAATTAAAAAAATAACATCCTTGTAAAATGTAAGTAAACATTTTATCATAAAATTTAGATAAATAAAGTTAGAAAAAGATATAAAAATTATATAATATAAAAATTGATGCTCAATGCACTTAGCATGTTTAAATACAATTATTTACAATTATTGAGAATTCAAATATAATAAATACAATTATTTACAATTATTGAGAATTCAAATATAATAAAAGTATTATTAACATTTTTAAAATTAAAATTTTAAATCTGATAGTTACGGGTTAATTCATAATGGTCTGTTGATTATTATACTGTAGTTATTTAACTGTTTACACTGTGTTTATACGGTACTATGCAGCAAACCGAATTTAAATATTGCATATGTAATATTCGCTAATTTACCATTAGTCCAATTACATGTGAGCGCAAAATTAAAGTCATTTGCAAGGGAGACAGAAAGAGAGTCTCTGCTTTAGAGTACCTATGCTCTAGGCCACGGGGCCGCCAAAGTAGAATACCCGCATTCCCAAAAACTACGGCCTTGTATTTAGATGCTAAACGATTACAGACCTTGAGAAAAAATCCCCATTCTGTCGTAAGTGTAGGTCCTGTGGACTAACGGTATGATACTCGCTGTGACAGCTAGATATTGCAGGTTGTCTACTCAACTATGTAGTTATTGTCGAATTCTTGTGACAGACGTAAGAAATGATATATCGTCCTCTATTGTTTGATACTAAACTGGTACAGTATTTCGTGGCTGTGGCGTGAAATAGAGTTCCTATTAGAGATGAAAAAATGAATAGCGCCATCATGCGACAGACTTTGTCATAAAGAGTTTTTATGTGATCAATTTTATTCCGTAAGTAACTCTTTTGCATCAATGCGTTTCAGAATTTTGAATATTAAAAAAAAAAGTGTTTGAAAGGTCTGACCTTGACATGCATATTTAACTATGTCGTTAAAAAACACCAAATCCTCAATTCGTTTATTATACTTCCGGGTTGATCATTTTGTGAAGTGTTTCTGTAATCTGGTACTTCCATTGCGCTTCCTCCCACAACAATGTCAGTGGTTTTTGTATACAAATTTCAATTATTGTATTTATTTTGTGCAAAATGCATTCTTCTAATATGAATGGACACAACCTACGAATATATCCTTGTGATAGTCTTCGGTTATTTTTTTCAAGTTCATTATGATTATCTTCGTTATTAAATACAAACAAATGAGTTTGTTCTCGTGGTTGTTAGGGATTACCTAATAAGGAACTTTACAATAAGTTCCGGTCTCTTTCCGTATTGACTATCCGGAAATGGGCGATGCCTCTTTTGGTCAGTGAGGTTATTGTTTTAAAGGATGTATGCAAAGAATTACTTCCCGTTTTGAAATTGACGTTCCAAAATCAAAGCAGTGTTGAAAACTCATGAAAACAATCTAGGCCTCTCCTACATACGATGTCTCTCGAACTCGAACATAGTGGAAAACCAAGCAAAATTATAAAAATGAAAGTATTGTTTACAGCGAGTACGTCCTCCGATAATCTCACCAATCACAGTTAAAATGATGTAAACTAATTTTATAATTTAGATTAATATGTCCATGATTTTCAGCCTTATAACTTGATAAAATTGATTTATATCATAATGACGCGAATCATATGTAAAGTATGTCGTTTTCTAATTACAAAACAAGTTATATATTTTTAGCAATGAGAAAAATGGCAACAAAATGTATACATTGCTATGTAAGCCTACTGGGCAGTCGAATAGAAGTCAGAAAGATCATTATTTGTTGATATGAAGAATGATTTATTTGCATATCAAAATGCTTAAATCTACGTTATTCACGAAAATTTTTAGTGAAAAATAATAATGTTTAAAAGAAAAAAGTTTCACCTCAGCACGTCACCGCTGAGAGTGGTATTACAAATTATGGTAAGAGCTGATTGGTTAGTCTTGACCTAGGTTACTTTACAGTTCTGATTGGTTGTCATCGCTAAGTAGCCGGTTCATTATGGATTCTTCCATATTCACGAGCGTTTTGTTAGTCATCCAAGCCAGGCTAGGACTGCGGTAGTCGGTATTGATAGTAACACTCTGGATTCTTGCTGCCCTTGGACGGTGTACAACCATTCTAGCTCCTAATATTTTACCTTTTGGCTTAGTGTTCTTTGCACCACGATTTGGCTGCAAAGATGGATGTTTTGCCAAGCGGTGGGATTTTCAAAGAATTACAGTTGGTTCACGATACTGGCTACTTTTCTGCTTCAAGCTCGCTGGAAGAAGACTGGCATATCGTAAGAACAAACATTATTTTTCGCCGCTTGGCACTACTTACGGCTTTCAAATTATTATGAATAAAATGGAAAATCTTAATCTGTAAAATACAAATCCAAATATACTTGGTTGATATTAGAAGAAAAGTCCACAGGTAACAAATGCAATTTATGTTTGCATGTTGCATCGTCAATCAATTGCGAGTTAAGTCTAGACTCAACAGTAAACCAGCGATATGCCGCTGACACTAAAGCCTGACATAATTAAGCCGAATCGACCAAATCAGGGAAGGCGTACAACATAGATTGGCATAGCTAGGTCTAAAAATGTCAATTTTAAAGTGATTATCCGTTACATTTAGTATTTTTGACAGTTCGTGTAGTATTAATTGAATGTGCTGTATTTTGGCAGTAGACCCTACCAAACCCCGGTGCTAGCCTACTCTACTACAGAGTACTATAGTGCAGCCGATAGTCTGTAAAAACTGCATCAAATTGAGCAGTTTTATGCTATAAAGCAGCTTTGGAATTGCTACTTATGTCATTGATTGGTACTTGGTATGGTTTCCTCCAAAATCTTAGATTTAGGAAAATGTAGGCCTTATCTGGCCTGGCTGTTAAACCTAGACAAATTGTTTATATCGCAGATTCCAGGGTCTGTGTTTATGTATGGAAGTTACTCTAGTACTGTAACTAGTGTAGTACTGAAGTAGGCCTAGGACTAGCATCAAGATTACTCCGGTTTAACAACAAAACTGCTATTTGCGCTCAAGTTGTGTCCATGGAATTTTAATAAATTTATTTCCTGTTCAAGTCACCAATAGAAATGTAGACCAGCATGTTCCCTTGAAATCTGATTTTGATGTGACCAAATACATGGAAGATATATATACCTTGATAATTAGGCCTAAATAATTTGTATAGATTAAATGTTGTAACCCAATTGTAAAATATAATATATGAAAAAATCATTTATTATTGAAAAAATCATTTATTATTGAAAAATAATTTTTCCAAATTAAATACCTGAAAATATGAATACATTTAAATGCATAAAGCGGTCAGTTTATTTCTTATGACCATTTTTTAGGTACAAAATATCCCAAGATTAATTCCTGTGTGTTGGAAATAAATCATAAATGTTAGTTACCACCAGTGATGTCTGCTAGCTTACAAGTTCAATCTAGCACTCTACTAACTGAAGTTTCAGTGGTCCAGTAACAGCGTGATATCAACTTCCTTATGCCTGGCTGACTTTTCTCAACCCTGGACAAAACAACTCTTCACATTTATGTGCATTTAAAAAAATGCGAGTAAAATTTTATTACCAACTTACAAAGCCCTGTTGTTAGAATGTAGTCAAATTGGTGGCAATGATACAATGTTTTTGTATACTGTAGTTTCGAGTAAATTGTCTTGCATTCCTTTAGTTTAAATGCTATGTTCTTTTTTTCTATTGAGTTGCATATCAGCTCAGAATTTCAGCTCGACTAGCTCCATGAATCAAGCCATCAAATCTGGCCCGCTGCCAAAAGTTAGCTCTTTGATAATTTCCCAGTAGGCAGTCTGTTGCCCTTATATGGAAGAGGGAATAAATTAACAAATATTTGACCTTGCTGCAACTGCCAATAATCGGTTCGTTTTGATTTCTACATGCATGGACACGGTACGCTTCAATCACAGGGTCTCATTACTATTCTGAATGCAAAAACAGCTCAGTTTGTTGTTTGACAAGACGCTTCTCTCAGATAAATTTTCTCTTTGTTATGCAGGATAATATCTTTCCTATTCATCACTTGCTTTAATTGCCAAGATTCTGGATTCAAATTAACTGATTGTAAATAACATTAGATTCACACTTTCTGATTTATGAAAACGTCGTAGCTGAAAGAGATGAGTTTGAAGATTGAATACATTATTTTTATGCTTGAAGTAGTTGGGGATATGTTAATAATAATATTAAGAAACATGTAGGCATAATTAAGATTGGAATTTAGGTTTAACATGTTTACATACATAGTACATATAAATACTGCTTAAAATCCTCCCATGTATAGTACACATATTGTTAACAATTTATTTTATAATAGTTCGGGCAAACAATACGATAAAAAAAATATATGTAAAATAAGAATATAACAAAGCATATGCCACATCCTGGGAGAGAAAAAATAGGCAAAGCAATAGCTATATCTTCACATGAAATATGCTATCAAGTGGACATGAAAGATATATGGAAGTTTGGAAGAAATAAAAATAGGGTACTTAAATATGTAAATTATTTACAATTTTTAAAATTTCTTTCTTTAATGTACAATACTGTAGTACAATATTGAGTTGTGAATAAAGACATTTGTGAAACTACATAAGCAACAACATTAATTATACAGCAAATGTAATTAATCAATCGCTAGAATTTATTTATACCAGATTGCCAGAATAGATGCACGCTCAGTGGCTTATTTATGACTTGATGTTGACTACAGTATATCTATGCTGTTCAATTGGAAACCAGATGAAGTTGATCTTGATTATTAATTTTCATGATACTTTTACCCTAATACTACCTACATATTCCTGTTGTATTAATTTAATTTTTAATAATTAGGTATTTAACAATATAGGCTAACTATAAAAATAATTATATGAGTGAAGCTCTACCAGGTGAAGGGGACACTAGGAATTCATTAGTAAGTTACCTTGTTTAGCAGCCTGCCACCCATCAATATTATGATGATTTCAAATAAAAATAAAATTTTATTTTTGGCCAATTAGCACACCTGAATTAGCGCACCACAAAAAATGGAAAATTCATAAAAAGATAAAAGTTTTTCTTTATTTTTATTATGCCCGCTGCCGACTTCAAATCTTCCTAATTATATAAATTGAAACACTGTTTTTGGCTAAATAAGAAAACAAAATGTTATTTTTAGTTTTTTCTCGCCCTCCTCTGATCTTAAAGAAAGTAAGTTCGCGAGGTATTAAAAAGTCTCGCCTTATTCAAAAATACAATGTAGAGACAAAAATCTGAGAAAAAGATTTGTTTGCAGTTTGATTGCTTTTAGGGACCTGGAGTTTTCATGCATGGAAGTATGTAAATCACCAAGCATACCAGGATTAGCTTCATTTCCCATAGTGAAAAGGTTTGTTGGGTCCATTCATAGTTTTTCTTGCTTTTGTGGATGCGAACAATAACCTTATTATGGGCATTATCTGTTTACTGTGAATAGATGTATACTTGTAAGTGCTTGTGAAATGCCAGATTTGGATAATCATGCATTAGAAATATTTTCATGGATTTATTTGACATTGTATTAAATATTGGTGAGGTGCTTGCCTTCAAGTCTCAGGGTCTTAGGTTCAAACCCTGTAATAGCGCATTCTTTCCCATGACTGACAATACATCTCCAGTCCTTAAGCATTTTAATGCGACTTTTTAACACATCAGATTATTTTCTTTTATTTACGAAGACTCCTGAATAATACTTTCTAGGATAAGCTGGGTCACCCACTAAAATTGGAATCTAAAAAAATTCTGATTGGGAATTAAGACAATTTTTTTTAAGTAAGGAAAATTACACAGTTTGCATTTTTTGGAAGTTTAAAATAGACAAATGTCATTAAGCTAAAACTAATAATCTTTATTTCAGTGTCTACTTAGACAGTAATTTTTTTTAAAAAGTGTATGTTATAAAAGCTTGGTGTCTGTAATATGACAAGTTGTTTTTTGTCTGTTCTATCAATTATATCATTTATTATTACCTAGCTTTATAATGGTACAGTGAAATATTTGAAATTCCTTTTCTGTCATCAAAACCACTCAACCGATTAAGAATTGTTCCACTTTTGAATTTTGTGACAAGAGACACTTGTTGTTAGGTGATATGCAAGGTGGCATATCATCTAATACCTTAGCAATGTGTACTTAGTATTTATAATGCTGCAGAAGCCTAGAATGATAATCCATACATGATCTATTGGCTCTGTGATAAGAACTACTGAAAATTATACCAGATTTCACTCCTGATCATTAGACCTTAGAGAAGAGCAAAGATCCAAGAGAGGTCCTCCAGGCTAACAACTAAAATTCCATCTGCACACTGCTTTCTTTTAACCAGGCAATTAGTATCTTCTAATACTAGATCCATTCTCTAGCTAGAATTATTCCCACAAGCTTCATTTACTGTATATAAATTAATATTTCTTGTGTTTGACTGTAGAGTTACCATAACCACTGTAAATAGAATTACATAATATCAACCAATTACGGTATACCTTGTACAGTAATTACAAAGAGCTGACACTCTGTGATGTGAAAACCACACAAATGATCTAAATTTGCTTAGAAGAGATAATTTCAAACTCTTGCATGAAAACTTCTTATAATATTCCTCCAAATCTATACTAATAATTTTCATAATGTTAAATTTTGTATCTCCTGAATGAATGATTGTCATTACTTAAATAATGTGATCTCGATAGTAGTGGTAAACAAGACATTCCTACTCTGCACTATCTTGAAATGAATCTTGGCCTCCCACCCACAAACCATAGGTATTGCATTCTTGCTTATTGTACAACCTGTCAGTAGATATCTACCATTCCAAAGAAAATTTACACATTTATGTTGATAACTATCTCCAACGTATTTCTATAAAATGGTAGGATGCAATACCACATAAAAGTGTAGTAAAATTCTATGTAGTAACAAATTAAAAATATATTAAATTTCAATATAATTGAATGTTTATATAAATTTAAAGCTATTAAATTTCTCAATCGTTATTGTCATTACTCATGAATAAATTATGAAATTGAAAATTATTGTCATCTCATTTGCACAACTCCTTCGTTTTAATAATCAGGGATCGTAGCATTTTCTGATTACTTGTGTGCTATCAAGAGATGCTTGTTAGAGCGTGTCAGACTTGTGTTTTCAGGCAAGATACAATGTTGTTTTTTAAATTGTGTAATTACATTTGCAGGTGATGATATCAAAAAATAGTCCAGATGCGATTATA